GAACTATTACATCTTTATACCCACAACTACTACTTTACATCGTTATCTATTACACACTACATCACTACTGCTGTATCCGCTTGTACACAGTTACTGAACTACTACATCGTTATAACTACTACATACGTTACTACTGCCGTTACTGCTACTACTATTGCAGTACTCTACTTGTGTGTTTGTTAACGTCGATATACATCACTACTATGTATGCGTTCCCTAACGTCAGCATATATTGCGGCACCACTACTATCAACCATTGCCGTAGCCCATTACGGCTGCCCGATGCAGCCAAGAGCGAGCAGGCAGGCAGGCAGGCAGGCAGGCAGGCAGGCAGGCAGGCAGGTAGTAGGTAGGTAGGTAGGTAGGTAGGTAGGTAGGTAGGTAGGTAGGTAGGTAGGTAGGTAGGTAGGTAGGTAGGTAGGTAGGTAGGTAGGTAGGTAGGTAGGTAGGTAGGTAGGTAGGTAGGTAGGTAGGTAGGTAGGTAGGTAGGTAGGTAGGTAGGTAGGTAGGTAGGTAGGTAGGTAGGTAGGCAAGCAAGCAAGCAAGCAAGCAAGCAGGCAGGCAAGCAGGCTACTGGCTGGCAAGCAGGCAAGCAAGCTGGCTGGGAGGCTAGCTCGCTGGCTGGCTAGCTGGCTGGTTGGCTGGCTGGCTGGCTGGCTGGCTGGCTGGCTGGCTGGCAGGCTGGCTGGCAGGCCCGTACGCAGTACTCGTGGAAAGTACCGAACGTGATGTCGGCTTATTCCTCGGTAACTTTCCATCGTATTGAGCGTAAACGAAGAAAGTTTTACCGAAGCATTGCGTCCAAAAGCAATAAAAAAAGAAAAAAAAAAGAATATAAGAATTCACGAAGATAAATTTTTCTTTTTTTAATTTTTTTTTGTTTTCTTCTTTAAATCATATTTTCGGGTAATCGTTTCACTTTTTTGTTCTTTTTCTTCTTCATTTCCCCCCACCCACATCTCCCTTTAAATAATATATTTTCATTTCTTCGTTTTTCTTTCCTTTTTTTTCTTTTAATTATACAAATCTATGCATTTATTTCAAAGTTTGGATAAAATTCCAATGTAAATTGGAATTCTTTAATTTTTTTTTTTTATAATTTTATTTATCGGGAAAATACAGTTACAAGATAGAGAAAACTATTTCATAATAAATTAGTTTCTTATTTATAAAGGGGATAGCCATAAATGAGAGAGGATTGGAATTTTGAAAGTTCTCCCATCCTTTATCCTTCAATTCTAAAAGATTATTTCTAGAATTCTAAAAAAGAAATTTTTAAGCATTTTCCAAGGATATCTACATGATGAACAATATAGGTAATATAGGTAAACGGACGGTAGACATTGAAGAATGAACGGTTGGGTTGAACAATTTTACAACTTTGATGGATCTGACGGCCCACCACGTTTTTGCGATTGTTTCCCTTCGCTAAGTAGATGGCGTTAGTAACGACCGATAAATGGTAGGGATATTAATGGGACAGATGGTGTCTATTATCTTTTCGTTTTTCAATTGGTTTTTAGGGATGACATTTTTCCTTTTTTTTTTTTTTAACAAATTCTTACTTCACAGAGATCGTTAACGATATCTCTGTGAAATATAAAAAATAAAGAGTCAAGATAATCCAGTAAAAATATTTAAAGAGATAATATTATCTTAAAAATTTTCTTAAAAATTCAACAAACAAAAAAATTGTTGAACTTTACTGATAGTATAGATAAAAAAAAAATAACGCGCAAAGGTAATATGGTTCTTGGCAATGACATATTATTTGATATTATATTTAAAACAAATTCGTTGTCAAAATTTTTTCACAAAAGAAAAACATAGAATGTTGAAATAATCTAACAAAAATACTTATAAAGACAAAAAATATTTATTTCTCGAAGTTTTCTTAAAAAAAAACAGAAGAAAAAACAAAAAGAGAAAAAGCCAAAACAACAGAAAAACAAAAAAAAATAAGTTAACCAAACAAAAAATATAAGCAAAAGAAGAATTATAAAAACGATTTTGTTGCGATAGATTAAAAATAGCGAAAATCCACGACAATCCTATTTAAAAGAAATACGTCCTTGCGACAGTAGAATCGAGGTTTGCCAGGGAATACCCGATTCCAAAGTTACGGGTAAAGAATTGCCTGCAGGAAAAGGAAAGGCAAAGAGGGGGTCGTGAGCGGGACAGTGGGGGAGAGGGATAAGGCCACGAAGAAGGGGGGGTGGAGTGGCAGGGAAGGGTGGAGGAAGTGGGGGACGGGAACTCGGTTTTCCTCTTGAGCCGACACTGCTGCTGCTGTTGCTGCTGTTACTGCTGCTGCTTACCGAGCAGGCCGAACCGGGCAGACGGCCATAAGCCCCGCAATATGGCCGCCGAGACTCACCGTTATGCCGTAGAGAGCATCGGCGGACGGAGCCCTCGTGCCCCTTATACAAAAGAGAGAGGCCGGACCCCCTCTGTCCCTCGGGCGTTTGAAATTCAACCCCAAGAACACTGCTGGCCGCTCCGCTGCTGCTGCTGCTGTTACTGCTGCTGCTGGTACTCCTGCTACAGGGTTGCCAGATTGCGTTGTCATGGTATATAGAATTGCTTGAGCCGTTTATCAATATAATATATATATATACATATATATATATATATATGTATATATATATGCGTATGTATATATATATGCGTATGTATATATATATATATATATATATATATATACATATATATTCATAACGTATGCATATATAGGCATATATCATATCGAAACACAGAAATACACCAATAATAATCTTACGTACAACCGAAAAATGTCGATTTGTGTTGTGTGTGTTATCGGTCATGGCAAACCGCAGACTGTGGTAATACTCTGAACCATGGAGAATCCCATGGTTACGAGACATTATTTCATTTCTTATTTTCACTTGCTTCTTTTTTCTTTGTCTTTCTTTTTCTTTTTCTTTTTTTTTTTTTTGTATTATCTAAGCGACATATATTCAACAACCATTCTCGGTGACCCTCCTATAACAACGTTTGACTTCATCGTTTCTCTATGTTAGTTACGTTTGTGAAGACTATTAAAATTGAACGATCGTTTTATGATCGCTTATGAGTTTCTCGTAACGTAACTCGTTATTGGGATTGTTTGAACATCCCGTGTAGTATGATAGAAGCTACTCATATATATATATATATATATATATATATATATATATATATATGAGTAAAACTTGTATTAGAAATAGTATTAGAAATATTAATATTGTATTACATATTGTTTATTGTATACAAAACATTGTATTACAAAACTCACTGAAATACTATATTTATGTAATATATTTAATATTAGAGTAGAATAAGAAATAATAATAGAGTGTAGTATAATAAATATAATAGTAAGAAATGTTATACTTACATACACATACACATAGACATAATACAGTATTAGAAATGCTCTAATAGTTTTGCTTATACTAATACTAATACAAATATTATATATACATATATAGTTGAACACTTTTATATACTCCATTGCTTTTTAAAGTGATCCGTAGTTCGTTAATTATCCATTGTCAGCAACAGGTCGACCTCGACATTTACGACAAAACCTCATTCAGAAGTTTGACCAAGGTTTGATAAAATATTATCAAAATAATCCGAATGACGTATATGTATACAAGGTGTTTCAAAATTTCTATCAAAATTAATTTCTCTATATTTGAAAACGTATATACAATATACATGGTGTCTTCAAATTCATACATTTTCTTAAATTGATACTTAAATAAAAAAAGAAAGAAAAACGAAAAAAAAAGAAGTATAGAAAACCTAATCAAAACAACATTCAGCAATAATTAATAAATGCTATTGGAAAGTGATTGACCCTCGTTATCGGTTTTTAATATCCCCTTAACCATTCCTGGACCCACCCCCTCTCGACCATGTATCACGTATATATTTACATAGATATTACGTAACGTCGATCGATAACTCGTCCCGTATCAAGCGAATTAACTGACATAAGAAAGAGGGTAACTAACAAAAAGTAACATTTACGTAAGAGCTCGCGACTCGTACATATCTATACGTATATACATACATATTTACACACACACACACACACACACACACACACACACACACACACTCCCCCACTTTTTTCTCGTCCCGCAATCACTCATCGATATTTAACCGGTGGGAGTGAATATAGGTATATAAGTATTTAAATACATATCTAATTCGAAACCAGCGCGTATTATTATAAATTGCTAGACGACACGAAATGACAAACGAAACGAGACGAATTGTTACGACGCTATACGACGCTATATAAATTCTTGAAAATATCCTCTATCGGTTATCGCCATGTTGTTTCTCTTTGTTTCATGTGAGAATAAAAAAAAAAAAAAAAAAAAAAAAACAGAAGAACAAAAGAAAAAAATTATTTACTGTTAGTAAAATAATTAAAAAAGAAGTTTCACGATTTCGTTCGTAAAATATTTTTGCAATAACGAAATATAAAACATCTTACTTACTTAATTGGAAGTTTCAATGA